ATAGATAGATGTGAACAACGATAGAGATAGAGAGATAGATAGATAGATAGATAGATAGATAGATGTGATAATGTGCGCAGTGATAGATAGATGTGAACAACGATAGAGATAGAAAGAAAGAAAGAAAGAAAGAAAGAAAGAAAGAAAGAAAGAAAGAGAGAGAAAAAGGGAGAGAAGAAGATATAAGAAAATTAATGGGAAAGTAAAAGAGAACTTACAGCCGCTTTTAACAGCTTCGATTTGGCGTTGATTTTCTGCCGGTGAAATCCTGCCAGGTTACTCAGTACTTAATTTCTGCCAGTGCCAATTGCTATACAAGGAACGGCAGGCCGGCGGGATGAGATTTATCAAATAAATGGCGTCTGCGTTTGGAGAAGAAAGTGTCAGGATGATCGCTTTTGCCAGTGATCAAATGATGGATCTATTTAGCTGTCCTTTATTTCTGACCTGCTTCCGCTAATGAAACGGTTCATTACGTGCAGAGACAAAGAAATACAGACTTCGATGTGTTTTGCAAAATATCTCGTTCGTCCTTTGTTTGCTAGAACAGTCTCAGCCTTCCCCCGAAAATAACGTAGAATGGGGCCCCTTTTACATTCTTTTTAACTATCTCTCAGCTAGGGTTTAAAATATATAATATTCCTTCATTTTTGAGCGAAATCAGAGCATTCTTCACTCGTATGAGCACGTTTAGCATATTCTCAACGGACAGAAATTATACATAAAAAGAATAACTGAACTTATTTAATTAATGTGGATACATTAAATTTTGGCACAAAGCCAACACAGAAGTGGGTAAAGGCTGGTCAACACTATCTATCCTACACCTTGGTAATCCCACCTACAACTTCATTACTCTAACAATTTCTTCAATCCCTACAAGAATCCATCTTTCTCTATCCAGTCCAACATGCACCACAATACAACATGTGCACAGGGTTTCTAATAAAACATCCATGATTTTAAAAATTCATTCATAGGTATAAATATTTTTACCTCTTTTTTAAAACAATTATTTTAAAAATATGTTAAAAAATGCATATGAAATGAATACATATTTTACATATATTATACATTTCAAACCCGTCCACAGTTCCGTGTTTAGTATTGAGTTTCCGGTTCCTTCTTAAGCCTTTTCATTCTCTTTCACTGCTAGTGGCCGCCATGCGTCTTAGTGGTATTAACGCCTTGCTTGGGAGTGAATTGATTTTTAAAAAAATGCGAATAAATGAAAATTATGTTATTATGGATCGTCCAATCCCACCAAAAGAAGAGCAGCCGATAAGCAGTGACAGGGGAAGGATAAATCAATGTCGGAATGGGGAGAATATATATAAGGCTGGTCCAATCAAGATAAAACGCGAGGATAAAAAAATGGGGATGACAAAATAATTTAAAAAAGAAATTATGTTATTTGAAAATATTTTTTCGGAATAAATATTAATTTTTTAATTTCCGAGATGAGAAATTACTTTCCTTATGTTTATTGTCTTCGTCTTTGTTTTTTTTTTTTCACAACATTTCAGCCGATGAACCTCTGGTTTTCATCAGACGATTATCAATACTGATAACCTTCAGTGAATTAATAAAAAAGAGATGTGACAGCAAGGCTTCAACATCAGCTGTAGTAACAAGTGAAACCTCGCTGAATGCAGTGAAACGCAACAAGTAGCAGCAGTACTCATCAGTGGGCAGGTTAGGCTTAAAGCTGTACGTTCGCCAAACACTGGTAGATTCAAAAGAGTGTTTGGTGAATTTTAATCAAAATGGATTGTTTGTGATCAAGAATTAATGATTGTTGATTGACTGATTCGTTTTTTTTACGGATTATCAACACTTTGCAGGTTATTTAAAACCAGAAAAAATATTTTTAGATTGTTAGAATTGTTTTGCAGGGATGGAGGAGATAATAATGGTTTAGTGATTACGAATTAATCTTTAGCTGGGGGAGTTTCTTAAGGGCATTTTATTAAGGGCATTTGTGCATAAATGAATATAACGAATCGAAACAGGCATTAGAACTCGGCTCTTCGAGTAACAATTCCGAGTCATTATCAATTCGCCAACCGCACATCCATGCTTACAGCACCAGTTATTCATAAGCGGGCACACATCTAGGTACTGACCAGGGACGACTTTGCTTAACATCGGTGATCGTACGGGAAGCGGTATTTCAACGTGATGTCACCCTGAGCCCAACAATTAAGGGAATAATTGCTAACAGATTGGTTAATATATTATTTCTGCAATATCTGCGATGGAGCTGCTCTACCATCACTTCTTAGACTTGATAAAGTTAAGTATTGTTTATATGGTCTTGTAGAAGTTGACTTATTCTTCTCTGCATACCTTTACCGCAGTCGTAACGTGGCTAGCTTGTCGCTACGTTATTTCTATCTCAAAGGTTAAGATAAACTCACTTATTTAGTTCCATTTCTTCAGTATTATCGTGAACCATCTCCATTCCTTTTACACCCCTCTGGTGAAATTTAAGTTCCGTCCAAGCAAATTCTTCTCACGAACAACGGTCCTTTGGAACCGACTGCCTTGAGGTTGCTTTCCAGGTCACTAAAAACTTAATTTGTTCAAGTCTAGGGTTAACCGCTATCTTGTACACATATCCGCATAAACTTTGCCTGTTACTCTGTAATCCTCTACCTTGAGTTGCACCTGGGCCTAATACAGAGAGAAAGAACACTACTGTCAAAAAAAATAAAAAATAAAAATAAAAAATAAAAAATAAAATAAAAGGAGAAGCTTGCACACAGTCAGTTTTTTTCTCAAAGAGTGCTACATTGCAGAACAAGTTTCCGCTTGGGTGATTCCCTGACGACTTAACCCCTTCAAATCAGGGGGCATTTTTATTTATTCTCCTCATCAATCTTATCTTCATTTCTTGACACCTCCCATTATATTCATATCACAATTCATTCAGTAATGCTCTACCTTGATTCTTTCTGGAACATTCTTTAAAACATAATTTATTTACTGTTGTAACCCAGGGAAGGCTATTGAATAAGAGAATGGCACGAAGGTTGGTAATAAACGATAACACTTACGACAAGAATAACACACATAAGATTCGCCAGCGTCGCGTAGAAGTCAAGTGAATTCCACAATGAATTAACAACTGCAGGTTTACTACCAACCGCCCCACGCGGTCAGATGTGTCACAAGGCCGAATTTAATATGGGGTATCCGAGCTCGTAGGCTCGTCCAAAAATTCCCCGTAGACCCCGTATAAAACGGTGTCGGGTAGCTGTTTTCCGAGACGAGACTCTGCCCTTCGACAAAGCCTCGTCTGGGGATTCTCTCTGCCCGGAGTCAGAAAGTTTGACCAGCACAGCTGGAGACAAATCTTCAGCTGCAGGATATCTACCAACTGCCCGACGCGATCAGATGTGGCACAAGGCCGAATTTAATGTGGGGTATTCGAGCCTGTAGGCTCAGCCAAAAATTCCTCGTAGACACTGTATAAAACGAGGCCGGGTATCTGTTTCCAGATACGAGACACTGCCTTTCGCCACGTCTGGGGATCCTCTCTGCTTGGACGCAGAGAGTTTGACCAGCAAAGCTGGAAACGAATCCTCAACATACAGTATTTATTACTATATTTATGTGAATGAGGGGATAGCAATTTTCGTCCGTGGAAATGCTACAACATTTACTTATCACATGTTCTCCATGTAAAATTCATCACTAATCTTGATAAAAGATTAAAGGGAGGACATAGTAGAACATTTGTCATATCTGCAAATGAAACTAATTCATATTTGTATAACATTTAGTTAACAACGGCAAACTTGGACATTCGTGATCGAAAAAAGTTTCAAAATGAAGGTTTTTCCATTGACCCCGCTATTATTTTAACTACATTTAAAATATCAAAATATTTAAACCATCTACAATGAAATATTGATTATTTACCATTTTACAAATAACTATGAAAACAAGTTTTTTATTCATAATTTTATATCATTATATATAAAACAAAATTTGAATTAAAATATGATTTTGTATTTTATATCTCGGTTTACTTATTTGTTTTCCTTTTTTTTTTTTTTTTTAAAAAAAAACTGATCTTTAAATCCAAAGTCTGAAACTCCAACAATTATAGATTAAACTCCTTCCTACACATTTTTGAAAAAAAAAAAACATAAGTCTTTTTTTAAAGTTTTAAATCGTTGGTAATCTTTTTAAAAAGGTAGTGTTATGTCTTCATTGCATTGTCTGAAGACATCACAATGAAGAAGTAGTATGTCTCTTGGAGTCGACGTACTTGAAATAGGTAGTAGGCAGATAGGCTAGATGTCTAACTCTTGACTTTTTTCTTCTTATACTGACGTTTCTCGGCGTCTGTCTATATGTATTTATGTTATAGAGTAGTTTCACAGTGGAGGCTTGTATTTCACTAAGTCGGTCCTAAAAAGGTTCGACGTACAAAACGCTAGGAACTTGATATAATAGTTAATGACGCAGCAATCTAGTTGTGGTGGCTGATACTTTAATGTCCGACATCGACTGACTCACCAACTCACTGAGCGATATTCAGTCACCCCCCCACGAGGGCATCATGTGGCACAAGGCCGGTTTAACGTGGGATCTCCGAGCCCGTGGGCTCGGCCAAAAATATGCCCTTTGAACCCGTATAAACGGGTTCAGTGTCGGTTTACCTCCCCGAAAGAGACTCCGCCCTTCGGCGTAGCCTCGTTCGGGTTCCTCCCCGCCCGAAGGCAGAGAGTGAAACCGATCAGCCGGTCGTCCGACTTCAGACTGAACTCATACCAACTCACTGCTACTACTACTACTTATTATAGGTGGGAGGTTCTATTAACTATAGAATAGGTGTGTTCCAGTATAACAATTTAGACGAGTCCAAGTCTTTTTCTGGAGAGGTGTGTTCATCTCTACAACAGATAGTCAGCCAAGTACTGACCGATGGAGAAATATCAATTTTTGAATAAAAAGATTTCTTTTCACATTTATTTATTTAGAAACTTCTAAATAATAAATCTTCATTAAAGTAAATATTTTTTTATAATCTTGTAAATAAACATTATAGAGAGATTGAATGTAATTAAAGTTATAGCGGTGTCAAGGGAAAAAGTCACCCTTTTCAAACACCGTCTTTTTTGCGGACATGGATGTCCATTTTTATCATAAGAACATTGGCATATACCGAAAACTGGAAGCCATAAAAGAATGGATAAACTTCTTTGTGTGTGGGCTATACTTATCAAGACATTTTGTATTTCTGTTAAGCTGTGATTTCCAAGATTATTTTAAATGCGTTGTGTTCCTTTCTTTATCATTCCAAACGCACCTACAATGACTTGTACTATTTTTGTTTTCAATTTTCACATTTCTATTTCGATTTCCAGATATTTATACTTCAATAGCACTTCAAATTTTGTGATATCAAAGAACACTCGTTGCCACTTTCGTAATGCTAGTTGTAGTAGTGACTTTTTAATCGTAGATACAACTATAGTAACGCCGTTGAACAATGCTGGTGTCAGACGCCTTCGAATAACACTCACACTAATTGTACTTGCTCGATAATACTAGCTCGAAAAGTAATCACCGAATAGTAATCGGTACAGAGAAATAGTATAGTGAACAGAGTAGAGAATAGCGGTCCGTATAGTAATAGAGGATAGACTAGAAATAGTGATCCATATAATAATAGAAGATAGAATAGAAAAGGCGACCTGTTAGTAATAGAGAATAATCTAGAAATAGCGATCGTTAGTCGTCACGCGACTTCCTACTTATGCGTATCCACCATGGTCACCTGATCCGCTTAATTCAATAATGGGATCGCCTGTGTTTGTTCCCTAGTGATCTATGTTCAAACTCAAGTGTTGGCAGCGTCACTTTATTTCTATATAACATCAAATGTCTTGGTTGCTATATTACAGTTCGCTGAGATTATTATTATTATTATTATTATTATTATCTCTGGTTTTTGTTGACTACACATTAATTCCGGATTCAACTAGAGACCTAAGGTCAGAAATGGCATCATGACATAGATTAAACTCCTTCCTACACATTTTTTTTTTACACTAAGCATTTTCATAAAAGCTAAAGAAGATAATCTAAGATCTTCGTAATCTGTGAGCTGTACTTGTGAATACATTTTGAGCATTTTTAAGGCATAGTCTGCCAGGAATCCCTTCAGTTTGACAATCGCAACCTAATCCACTCATACCGAAGGCTCCAACCACAACTTGAATTATTGATGTTTCATGTGCCATATTTTTGAGATTTCTACTTCAAGATCCTTGTATTTTGATTGTTTGTTGAAGAGATAAATTAAAATCCGCATGGACTGCTATATCAATGAGAAATCACATTCTTTTTTTGTCGTCTATGTATGGATGATTCGGTTTGATTGTTCTCGGTGTTTGTATTGTAAAGTTCCATTTTAAAGTCCCATAAAATTGTTACCGGTTCTTGGTGCTCTTCATACAAATTTCCTGCAGTTTCCTTTCCGTCAAAGTTGTAATAATAATAATAATAATAATTATTATTATTATTTCCACCCAGAACAACAATACTAAGATCAGACACATTTTACATAGATAAAGCTATTCGCGGAATCCCTTCTTCTTCTTCTTCTTCTTCTTCTTCTTCTTCTTCTTCTTCCTCTTCTTCCTCTATTATTATTATTGCCCTGTTCTGTCCCTGTTGTATTTGAATAATTTTAGTACAAAATATTTATATAACAGAGGAAGACTTTTTCAAGTAGTAATTTGATGTACCACGATTTTCTCAGTAACTTTCTCTCTATCAATTTTTCACTGGCTTCTCCACCTCTTTCTATATTTAACTTATGCGCTTTTAGCACCATTTGGCATTAAATATATTAAACTAGTTTGGATCGTTGGAAGAAGAATCTTAGCCCAGTAACTAAAGTATTTTCTGAAATTTTATGAGAAGTATTGTAAAATAACACACCATAAAGTAAACATCGTAAAATAAAATCAGGATAAAAATAGAATTGATAACGAAATTATATTCTAAAATTTCTAAATTAAAAAAAAATAATAATAATCATAACGTTTATTTATTGATTGATTCTTTTCTTCCGTTTTATCAACCCTTTGCAGGTTATTTAAAGCCAGAAAATATTTTAAATTGTAAGAATTATTTTTGAAAACAATAAAGGTTTATTAATATAAGTGTCACTAATTAATCCATGGCTGGGCGGAAGAAGTGAATTCAGGCCTTTCCCAAGAGTATTTGTGCGTAATTGAATGTAATGAACCCAAAGAGAATTGGAACGTTTGGTATTCCCAGACTGTCAACCATATAGGTACTAACCATGCTCGACGTTGCTTAACTTCGATGGTCCTACGAGAACCGGAGTTTCAACGTGATGTCACCTAAGCCATAACGCTTATTCAACACATCTTTTTTTTCTATTACTATTGTTCACCATACACAAGACCAAGCGTAAGAGGCAAGGTTAGCGAGGATATTGCGGAAAGATAACGGTTAACCATAAATAATTGAGATTGGTTACGAAAACATCTCCTTGGAAGTTGGTTTCATAAAATAGCAGTTCGTGGCAAGGAGCTGTTCGAGAGGAACCTTCCTTTTTTTCAATCATTTCACCCCAATCAAGGCGGGTATGCCACTAGCATGCAGAGTGTTACAGGGAGTGAAAGTTAAAGTGAAAGTGAAAGTGCAAGTGACGACTTGGTATATGGAGGATTGAAGAAATGACAAATGATGTACGGGAGACAGAACATTGCGATTTACGTTGCATTTATATTTTTGATTATAGTTAATATCATATACCTTACCTATGAACAATAATGGGTATGTCCTACTCCTCATAAATACGTTGGACACTATTGTAAGTGGGGATAATATGCTGTCTATGTAGTCCACCACTAACAGTTGTTTACCTACTTGACGCCGCTAGCGAGTATTGTAATTTGTTGATGTTATAAAGATTACCATTTCATCTCCAACCTCCAGTTTGGTTATTCCTCATTCAGTAACCTTTTCTAGGTTACAACAGTTATCGTGGAAGCATGTAAACGGAAGGGAGTTCCACAGACGAGAAGTGCCAGAAAAGAAACTGCTGGAGTAGAAGTGGCGATTGCATTTAGCTACTTCAACAGTAAAAGGATGCTGCCTAGATGTCAATCTAGTAGCACGCTTAAATTCATTTAGTTGGGACATCAGAGGAAAAATTGTCAGAGCGGTTGCAATGAAAATATTTGTACAAAAAGCAGAAGGAAGCCATGTCACTCGGTGGGAAAGTGACCGATATCTAGATGCCAGGTCAGGATTGATTACATTACAGATCCTTCTTTGAATTTTGTCAAGAATCTAGAGATGTACAGCAGGATCACCAGACCAGATATGGCAGCAGTATTCAATACACGGTCGAATGGTAGATTAATGTAATTTGAAAGGATTAAGGATGGTTCGGCTCAGTTTACGTGGTATGTCCGGTCTTGATTTTGGATTGTTGAACTAAGAAAGGTGTCTAAGCAGAATATTTTTTCATGAATATTCCGATAGAGTAACGAGAGGCTTCTAGATTTTCGACTGTAGGAAAAGGGTGGCATGGTGGAAAATCAACCGCAAGGGTGCGTCGACAAGTTTGAACTCTATCAGGCCAGTATGACCAAATTTACACAGACAATAACCTGGAGGCTGGTCAGAGGCCAAAGTCGGCAAGTTGACGTATGGTCGAATGTTATTGTTACGTCTTGTTTGCCCGGCAATTAAATAATAAACGCGCCTGACAAGCTGAACGCAACCAGCTGTAATAACGGTATGAACATATTTATAGCAATAAGCGATAATACCCCAAACAGCTTGTCCTGATAAACTCGTCATTTGAACAGAAGAGAGAGAGAGAGAGAGAGAGAGAGAGAGAGAGAGAGAGAGAGAGAGAGAGAGAGTGGAGAGAGAGGGAGATTGCTTGATTGATTCGTTTTTTACGGCTTATCAACCCTTTACTAGTTATTTAGAGCCAGAAAACATTTTTGGATTATAATAATTTTTGTGGGCTGATAATAATTGTTTTTGTGATAAATTACGAATGTAGCCATAGCTAGTCGAGAAAATGTGAATTCATACATTTTCCAAGGGTGAATATAACAAATTCAACTGGAATAGAAACTCGGCTCTCCGATTAAAAATTCTGAACCTTTATCCACTACACCACCTGCACATTATAGCTTCCACCACCTGGTATTCCCAAGCGGTTACCCATCTCGGTACTGAACCGGCTTCGGTGATCGTATCAGAAATCGTTTTTCCACGTGATCTGGCCATTAGCAGAGAGAGAGAGACAGACAGACAGACAGAGAGCATGTGTGTATATATGTGTGTGTGTATGTGTGTGTGTGTGAGAGAGAGAGAAAGAGAGAGAGAGATATATATATATATATATATATATATATATATATATATAGAGAGAGAGAGAGAGAGAGAGATGTCTCTAATAGCCATACGTCATCTGCAGTCAAAGAAGATAGCTTAAACACAAAGATATGACCTTGCAATCCAATCTCTACCAGGCAATATCTGTTCTCTACTGAATTGAGTCCAGGGTCGTTGATTATCAACCTAACTTCTCCCTCGTTGTCTCTTGCTAATGAAGCAAACCAAATTCGCTTCTTTCGCTCAAAAAGAAAACAAACCTCTATTTCTGTCGGAATTTCTGTGATGCCAAGTTATTATTTATGTTGTTTAAGGCTGACTATTGTCCACATCTCCTGTGTTGCTATTACAACGTTTCGGCCGTTGTGGACCGAGCCTTCATCAAGTGCTTCTCGATCCGGTAGCATTCAAGAAATTACGAACTGAACTTTTATCTAGTCACCACGGATATATATTTCTCGTTCCATTGATCACATATTCATATATGGCGTCTAATTTTTATATAGCACCGCTCAGGTATCGCTGGCCCTGTTTCCCTGTTGCTTCCTGAATTGTGAGTTAATTCACAAGCCGAGCAGTGTGTACGTGGACACAGTGGGGCTACCCCTGTTAAAAGGGTTAAGCGTGTTACTTAAGTATGTCATCTTCCTTCCGATCTACCGGAACAACGCATCACTAATTTATGTGATGTACAAATTGAGAAGATTCTCTGCATTAAAATAGACATTGTCGGCCCTCGCTCGCATCTGAGCATCGGGATCGTCAGAATCTCTCCGTCCCTTTCTCTACCATGGTGACTCTGACGGAGATGATTGTGAATCAAAAAGAGTTTGGCAAGGCCATTCGCGTAAATTTGAATTTGATTGACAACTCGGCGCAATGGAGAAGCCCATACCCTTGGCCAGGTGCGTCTCCTTTGCGGCTCAAAGGGACTTGAGACAGGTGAGATCTGGGAAACCTGATTGCATCGAGCAGTCGGATGCTTGGTCTGTCAAGGCCCGCTTTGGTTACGGTAGCCCGACTGGTGCTGCCTTCTTCCGCCGGTTTGATCGTCAAGATCTTTGCCTTTGGGGTCGTTGGGTGTTGATAGCGTTCTGTCTGGTCTGTCCTACTCGACCTTATCACCATGGTCGGCCCCACAGAAGTTGGAACTCCAGACGGCTTCGCCTTTGAGATCACTGTAAACCCTCTACCATGACAAGGAATTAACATATATATTTTACATTGGGTGAACAGTTCGTTATCAAATGTACCACTTTGACTTATTACTTTAATGACAATAATAGAAAAGAATCAATAAACGAGAAAAGAATAAAAACTAATAAAAATATAAAATTATCATTAAATATATGAGAACATTTTTATTATTGTTGTTGCTAAAAATATTTCAGAGACAAATAAAAGGAAGAAATTTACTACTGAACAAAAAAAATAAATAACGTTACGACTCGAAATGCTTTTCCTACATATTTGAAAATACGTCCTCGTCCATAAAAAAAAGTTTACTATAATACATAAAAAAGGATAACAGTGTATAATTATTGTCTAATGTTGTTAAAAGTCTCTGAATAATAAATGATAGAGAAAGAAATCGACGGTACTAAACCAATAGTCAATGATAAACAGAACAAGCATTGCAACTTGAATTGCATTTCCTACAATTTAAAAAAGATTACATCCTCTTTCTTAAAAAACAAACAAACAGATATATTAAAAATAGATATATAAGACAAGAAAAAGAAGTAGTCTTTATTTAATATGCTATAATATACTAAATAAATAAAACTAAAGGAAATTATTATTTTAACTAATAAAGTGTGTTTCATTATGATGGATTATATATAAGACGGATCAAAGTCAGCGGTAAATAAATCAATGTTATTGGTGAACAGTTATTTATTTCTTTATTGGATCATGTTATTTACGTCATGGCAATTATGTGTGAAAAATAATATCGCCCAAATGTCCGCCAAATCTGAAAGAAAAAGAAGAAATCATTCGAGGCTTAAATTAATTCATATTCAAAATCGACTCAAGTTATTGGAATACAATTTACTATCCTTGTTTGTAAACAGTTTGAACATCATTCAAAAATGCAATAAATTCTTTTGGCATTAGATCACATAACTTTCCAGAAAATGAAATCAAGATGAGATTTGTAATGTTTGGCCAGTTCTACCTTTTTGTTTTTTCTTGTGCGTGTAAATAATTTTCTTTAAGGAAGATCATATTTAAAATAAATCGTGAACGTAGATCACATACTCAAGTAGCACCGGGTTAACTTCGAAATGCCTTGGAACTTACCCAGATTAACACCGCCTGATGAAGGTCGCAAGCAAAACGACCGAAACGTATTGATACTAACAACAAAACACGGAAAATAGTCCGCATTTAAATAATGTAAATAAATGTGACTTAAGTGTTTAATGAGACCTATCTGCCAATCTAGTACTACGCTTAAATTCGTAAAGTCATCATACGAAAGTGGAAAGCTCGTCAGAACAACTGGCCTGAAAAGACAAACGGAAGTCACAGCACGTCTGTGAGATAGTGAATGTAAACGGGATGCCAGATCAGGACCGATCACATTGCATATCCGTCTCTGGATTTTGCCGAGAACCTCGAGATGAACAGCGGGAGCACCAGACCATATATGGCAGCAGTGTTCCATGCAAAGACGAATGGTTGATTTGTAGATTTGAAAGACGGACTCAGGCGAGAAAAGCCTTCTGGTGCGACACAGAGAACCAACTTTCTATGCGGTAGATGAAGCTATTGATTCAATGTAGTTGTTCCACTTCAAGTCAGTGGACAGCGTGAGACGAAGAAGTGTCACAGCAAAGTTACGTTCAGGCGGTGGATAATTTAGAATTCGATAGGTTTGATCGATCTATTTATTGTACTCTGGATAAAACAATAACATATGTTTAAGGTAATGAAAAAATGTTGGTGTTGTAATTGTTGTCATAATCAATCTGGTCCCGACAAATTGCATTACGGATTAAGAAAGAACAATAAAGTCATTCACATGTTTAAATGTCACAGGCACGACGAATCTGGTTCGTCTTTTATATTTGTTTTGGGAAGCATGTTTCATTAAGTTCTATTATAATGAATTTCCACAAGTATTTAATTTAATTAGTTTTTTTACATGAGTTTCAAGGTGTTTTCAACTTCATCTCCCCACTTCGTTGCTATTATCAAACGCAAAACTGTGACCTGTAGTTCGAAACTACGAGTAACAGAACAGACATTTTGAGTTGTACTGCTAGAACGGTATAGATAGACACGACAGCGACAACTGAAAAGCTTTCGATTTATTTTATACGGTAGATACGTCATGATCAAACAGGCGGTTCACAACTTGAACAACCGCCAGCAGTTAAAGTTCACGTGGTCTTTGAAAGTAAGCTATCTATCCATGCGTTTAGAGACGGTGTAAGACGGATAAACAAAGCTGACAGGGGAAAAAAAGTGAAGGAAACTTCTGTGTGGGGCGAGAAAGAAGGTCGAGGTTTAGACGCACAGGGTCGTTGAACTTTGAAAAGTGAAGATGTCTGAAGGGAAAATTTCGTATGTGTTTACAAATAACAAAGCAACGGAAGACATGAATACCCGAGAAGAATGGTAGGAAATTATGAAATAGAAAAAAAAAATTAATTGCTGCCTAGTACTAAGTCTGACATAAGGTCTGGGATTTTGTGTGAGTGTCACAAACAGTTACTGATGTTTTACACTATTTCAAATAAATGGTCCCCCGCCATTTAAAACAAAAGGTTAGGTCCGAAATCGCCATCAATATTTGAAAGCTTTATAATAGCTACTGGACATGAAGAAGCTATTTTCCTGAAAAAATGTTTTAAGAGATATATTTTATAAATTTCAACCGATAGCAATATTGGCTGCATGGTTAATGAATGCCAAATGTTTCCTTATAAGGAAACCGCTAATATTACAATTGCCATTACCATTGTCTTTTTTTAAAGTAAATCACTCTAAGCAAGGCGGGAGTGTCACTAGCACGTAAAGGGTTACAGAGAGTGAGAGTAAGAGTAAAGAGGAGTGTTTGGGAAAAGGATAAAGGGAAGGACGGAGATCAAGGTCATAGCGTCAGAAGATGTCGATTGACATTCTATTTGAATATTTGAAGATTATACTACCCGGAAAGAAAGTGATAGGAAGAGAGTTCAAATGACGGGAGGTGCAAGATAAGCTGTTAGAGCAGAAGAGATGGCTACATTTAGCCGTTTCGACAGTGAAAGGGTGGGACCAAGATGTCAACCTAGTAGCACGCTTAAATTCCTTCAGGTTGGGAACTAGTGAAAGTAGCTCGCCGGAGTACTTGTAGAAAAGACAGAGGGAAGCCACAGCACGTCTGTGAGATAGTGACTGTAGACGAGATGACAGATCAGGATCAATCACGTTTCATATCCGTCTCTGGATTTTGTCGAGGACCTCGAGATGAACAGCGGGTGCACCAGACCATATATGGCAGCAGTATTCCATGCAAAGACGAATGGTTGATTTGTAGATTTCAAGGATGGACCCAGGCGAGAAAAGTCTTCTGGCGCGACACAGAGAACCAACTTTCATTGTGGTAGATGGAGCTCTAGATTTAATGTAGTTGTTCCACTTCAGGTCTTGGAAAACGTGAGACCAAGAAGGCGCAGAGAAGCGCTCTCGTAGAGTTGGGCATCAGCCATCCTGATGGGAGGCAGGTAGGGTTGTCTGTGTTGGGTAAAGGAGAGCAGTTTCTATTGAAAAGTTAAAGATATGGTTTCCTTGAAATCGATAGGTCCCTTCTTAATGTTTTTGCAGATATCAGAAAATATATATTTGAACTAATAACATTAGCAGCATTGAGATCTGTTGTTTGAATTTCTAACTTAAATCTGCAGACGAAAATTAATTTGATGGCATGTTAATTTTAATGTCTCAAAAACGAAACTGCTCTCTATTAACCATCTTAAAGAATATTAATGTTTTATTCTATCAGCATTGTTGATGCTGACCCCCAGGAGAGAAACTCACTGTGTCATCTTGGTCTAATATAGTGTCTTGACATGAAGTGTAACTCCGCTGAAAGAAAATTCGGTTACCTATGTCATGCTAGACAATCTTCTTTTCTCGCAAGAATCGATTTTGAACATTTCTAAATCTACCATCTCGACTCTGCATTGATAATCGCTCTCACATCTAGTCTGGTACTTCAATAATATATCTAGAGTTGCTTGACAAATTCCAAAGAAGAAATTGCAACAATATAGGTCCTGAACTGGTATCTCGGCTTCAATCATATTACCACCGCTACAACGTAGCTTATCTGCGCTTTTTATATACATATTTTCGCTGTAATTGATTTGATGAGTTTTCCCTTCATAATTATAAATGCATTACTAGATTGGCAGCTAGGTCTCATTGTTTTAAATGAGAAACTGATTAATTGAACGTTAATTTCTCTGCGAATATTTTCGCCTTTAGTTCGTCCAGCTTAAGGAACTCTCTTCTGCCATCTTGATTTCCAGTTGACATCCAGATTGTACATGCAACGCCAATCGTTATCTTCTGTTTTGTTATTTATTGTTCCTTTATTGTTCTCTCTCCTTAATAATCTTTTATTTTCTCATATTATTTCACACTCAGCAACCATTTCATCTTAGTGGCTATAATACCTTACTTAGTGATTAAAAAATAATGAAATAACGTTACTGCATTAAATTAATTTCCTTGCTAGGGATGAAGTGTGTAAAAAAAAATTAAATGCTCGCTTGGGTAATTCTCTGCCGGCTTCCTGCTTTCTTGTCATCAAATATGTTGAAGAATTTAAATTCACTTTCAATCGTCATCGTCTATCAATTGAATTGTTCTTTTATTGTCCCTTCCCCGTTCCTTTCATTTTTAGTAACCTCTTATATCTTGAATATTTTGGGTGATATGAAAAAAAAGAATTTGAAAATGAAGTTAAATTTAACAAGATATTTGATAGGCATTTTTTTGGAGATAACCGAATGTGTCGACCACTTAGGAAAGACTGGGACAGGCATTCTGCAGATTATATGCTGTAATTTAAACAGGAACAAAATTCTATATTTACAAAAGGGCCCAAACATTTAGCCCGTAAATCACGCTTTAGTTTCTGACTGTTGACAAGACAGAGTTTATAAAGTCCGTGTGCAAATTTAAATACAGGGTGCGACATAAATGCTTTTACAACAGTCCGAAGGAATTCTATTTTTAAATTTTTGGTCATAACATTATTGTTTATGGTTTGATACTCGTCCAACAGCGGATGTTATTTGTTTCTCCTGTGTTTTAGTATTTACTGACAACAATGTCTATAGAAATTAAAAGAAAATATATAAGTGAGCAACATGAAAATAGACGTGAGATTTTTAATGCTGGAAAACAACTTGGAATCAATAGAATGTTTATCAAAAGGACAATCGATCGATGCAATGAGACTTCCTCCATCAAAGATAGACTGAAACCAGATCATGCTTGCATCTCTAGAAAGTCAAAACTCATTAAACATGTCATGAAGAAAATCAGGCATAAACCAAGAGGAAGAATAATAAAATAGGCTAAGGATGCTGGAACATCTGTGAGAACCATTTGGAGGCCATGTCAAATTTATCTAGGGATGTTGTCCTACAAAATAACCAAGAGACAGCTTCTTTCAGAAGTCATAATGAAAACGAGGCTAAAAGGAAGTTGCTGAAAAACGGATTTATGATGACATACTGCAAAACATCTTCAGTGATGAGAAACTGTTGATTGTTAAACAGAATTTTAATCATCAAGAGGATCATGTTTCAAGCTGTCAGTCAGTTCCAAACGCTTCAAGAAAATGTCTCACAGCCCAGCAACTAGCATCAATTATGATTTGGGCAGCCATTTCAGAAAGTCTCCTTTAGTTTTCGTGTCTCCATGAGTAAACATAAACAAGAAAACGTACATCGAGGACATCTTGGAAAGTTCACTCAAGCCATGGTGTAGTGCCACTTATGATGATGTACATCCAACAACTATTTGTTTTTTTTTTTCAACATATTTTCGTATTTACTGGTAACAATGTCTATAGAAATTAAAAGGAAATATATAATTAAGTAACATGAAAAGGGACCTGGGATTTTTCAAGGTAGAAAACAGCTTGGGATCAATAGAATGTTAATCAAGCGGAAAATCATTCGATACAACGAGATTTTCTTCCATAGACAGAGACCAGGACGTCTTTTCACCTCAAGGACGCCAAATCTCATTAAAAAGGCGCGCAAAAAGTCAATGAGAAAATTTGTTAAAGAGGTCGAAACATCGGAGTGAGCTATTCGAAGACTATGTGGAAGTGATCTAGGGTTGTCGTCCTACAAGAAAGCCCAAAAGACAAATTCTTTCATCGGCGACATTGGTAAAGAGGTTTCAAGGAATTAAGTATTTCTTGAGATGGATTCGAGATTTTCACTGATGAAAAACTGTTCACTATTGAACAGACTTTTAATCATCAAAATTATCATGTTATTTTAACAATTCGTCAGTCAGTTCTTGCCGCTTCAGGAAAATGCTTCATGACCCAGAAAATGATATCAGTTATGGCCTGAGAAGCCATTTTATAAAGAGGAAAGTCACATCTTGTTTTCCTACCTTAAGGAGTAAAGATCAACCAGGCAGTATATAGAGGACATAGTGTAAGGTGTGTTACAGTTTTTTTTGGATATATGTCTGTACTAGTGAGCCGACCAAAATGAGCTGACTCATTTTATAGTTCACCAATAGAAGGGTTAACCAATCAGAAAGCTCAAAATATTCAATCCGACGTGTATAAAGGTAGCCATTTTGTTTTTTCTCCCAAAATATCTTCACTGCCAACCTCTGATATCGAAGACTTAAAGAATTACAGCTGCTACTTTCTCCGAATCTTCACTGCCAACCTCTGATATTGAACACATTACGTACTTCACTGGATTCTATATTCAAAGACTACGGCAAACATGGTCAACAAGGTGTGGTGCCATGACATTAATGTTGTTGAACTTTGTATGGAGCAACGAGCAATACTTCTGTAACACAACAGTGGTGAAGAGATAGTTATCCTGTCTTCAGCACTAAGGACAAATAGCCTGCTTCATTGCCAGATATCAATGCGCTCGACTATTGTTTGTGGGCGGTTCTTAGGGACTGAATCCTGTTCTACGCCACACAACTATATTGACACACTGAAGGCATAAATGAAGAGATTATTGGAAAATACTCATGGAAACTGCGCGTGTCTTCATTAATGAATTTCCCGAAAGATTTCGACGAGTGATGAAGGGTAAAGGGAACCATTTTGAATTATATTTTCTGGT